ACCAGCATTCTTTCAGTTTCGCCTCCTCAGTTATCCTTGCCTACAAGCACTGCAGGTAAGGACCTACTTTCTTTTTTCTTTCTTAAAAGGATGCAGTTGGATGAGGGGGGTGTGTGTGCATCTCACAGCTCCACAGGCAATCCACTAGAGGCTAATAATTAAGATAGGATGTCATCATAGAAATACAGGCAGTCAAGTACTTCTGTGTCTATCTGTAAGTGGAAGCCACAGCTGTAACAGCTTGAAACAAACCGTAGTTAGTATTTTTCACAGAGATGGGTAGTTCATACAGAGCATGTAGAGATAGATTGGAGCTTCGGAAGAAAGGAAGGAATCTGTAAATTTCTATAGCTCAGGATTAGAATGTGACATTTCCCTTCACAAGAAAAATTATCTTCTGGATCCATTCCTTCCAGTATATCAACAACTTTCTCTCAATTACCTTTTAGTTTGAGTGAATAAAAGGCTGCAATCATCCTTTCTGACATGCCTTTAAAACAGCTTTTTCCAAATAATTTTCAATAATAACTGTAATTTAAACTTATAAGCACAGAAGTGCTTTAAAATAACTAGGTATTTTTATAGAGAAAGTGATGTCATTCTTCCTATCAGTGGCAAGAATATTCCTCTCCCTCTTTAGTATTTGTTTGCTGAGAAGTAGAAAGAGAATTAGAATATTAGCCATTACTTTAATGTTAAAAATGAATTATTCTTCCATCTTCTATTAACTTTGACTTTTAGTTTTTCAATAACCAAATGTGGCCTTTGAGTGTATTTGTGCTGTTCTGACAGGACTTGTGTGCACACTTGAGAATGGAATTTGATTCATTGTAAGTACTTCAATCTTCCCGAGATGCAATGAAATACAATAATAATAATAATAATAAAAAGATAACTTCCAAGCAGCTATCTTGAAACCTTCTTGGGGAGTTCTTTCTGTGGAAGAAAAGAAATATTTCATAGGTTTCAATGCACAACAAAAATATGCAAAGCAACAGCTTTTCCTTGACTTTGGTTCCAGCCTTAAATTCCCGAGCAGTGAGATAACAGTTTCAGTTCCACACTTCTTTTCCAGCAGTCACTTTGGCTAGACCGGAGCTGGTTCTCAGATGGGTTCAAAGGTTGGTATTAGGAACATCTCCACTGATGTGGAACTTCTCTTCCCTCAGTGAGACCAAGCACCACTGCAGGATCCCGGGGACACGAAGGTTTCTGGGGCCTGGAGTTCTCCATAAAAATCTGATTCCCTCTTACTTCCAGCAAAGAACTGTGTAGAGCAGTGAAAACATGGTGGAATACAATCCTTCTTTGACCTCTGGTGCACCTGTGTGGCTGTTATTCCACTTTCACTCCAGTTATGATATTTTACTTTTTTTTTTTTTTTTTTTTTTTTACTTTAGACCTTCCCCTGTCTAAGATAAGCTTGCATACGCAGTGCCTTCTACTTCTGCCAAGGTATACAAAGGGCATGCTTGATTTTCACTGTGGAAAAAATTAGTTGCGAGGACCTAATGAGTCAGTAAACCTCCTAAAGAGTTGGAAGAAAGCCAGACAATTAGTTTGCAATTTAGCTTAAATTTGAAATGATTAAAATCAATGTTTTGTTAATGTAGGTTGTGCTGAAGAGCACCTGTCTGCTCCTGTCAATTAGAAAGATGTACCTGCTTGGAAGTCTTCCTTAATTGATTGCCTATATTGTCACGTAATGATCCTCTTCAGTGCAACATAAAGTTGCTCAGAGTAAGTACTTTTTATAGAGATGAATGACCTATTATAAAATCAGACACTGGGGAGAGAAAGGCAGCTTTAAATGTTGTTTGCTCTCTATATAAAGTAAATGGGTCGTATAGACAGTATAAACCCTGTAAGTTGTGTTACCTTCCTGCATTTTTTTCCATTTGACATTGAGAATAGTGCTTGTTATGCAATGCATCACAGTTCCTGAATTAACTGCAACTGCAGCCCTTCCTGTGGCCTCTACAAACCTGTGAACAAAGCGAGGTGCTTTAGAAACCATACGATTTCTCGGAGTGGAACCCTGTCATCAGCTGTCTTCAGACCAAGGTTTTAGGCTATAAATCCTGCAGTTTGGCAGCATCGCTGCCTCTGCAGCTCCAGCCCCTCAGTGGTAATTGTAGAGTAATATAATAAGCAGTAAAACAATAATTGACACTTGTGTGCTTTAGCTTACCAAGTCAGTCACCCTTAAGTAGTTCTTTCTCAATTGTTGTTAGGAAAGAAAATCATAAACTACTAAAACTGACAGGAAAAAAAAGGCAGGGAAGGGAAAATGGAGAAGGGAAGAGAGAAAAAGGAAACCATCATTGTGCTGACTCCAAGTTAACTGATACTTTCTAAGGACATAAGCAAACACTGATGTTCACGGGACTGTCAGAGGATGTCAGCACACAGCAAACAGCACTGTTACAAGTTCCAGCACCACAAACCCTGTGGTACTGCAAGGGAGCTTGAATCATTGTTAGGCTAAAATGGTGTGCAAGCAAGAAGTGAAGGATTCCTTATATAAACAGGAATTTTGAATGTAGAATGCTGTAGTATTTTCCTAGTGTTCTGTATTTAAAGCGTACAGGTTTTAGCCTTAGCTAAGACAAAAAGTGTTGTCAGGTTAATAAGAATGAAAAGAAATAATCATAGGGAAGAGATGTAAAAACAGTGAACCTTTTACCTCTTCAGCTAGGATGGATCACAGCTTAAGAATATTGATTAATGTGACTGTGGACTATAAAAGATTAGATCTAATCTGCTCATTGTTAAAATGACACTAAGTACCCCAACATAATATTTTTGATACTGCAGCTGTCAGCACCTAGAGTGTGTCTGAAGAGGTCAGCACTGAAAGAGGTTCAGTTGCATTTCATCTGCGTTAGACTGTGGTTTCCACGTCACTGTTGTGGCTTGCAGAAATAATAATATTGTTATACACAATGGAGGTGAAACATGCTAAGTATGGAACTATTCAGAATAAAAGGATCCTTCTCGGACCTGGAGTATTAGAGTTCTAGAGGAGGAGAGGTAGTAACAGTAGATATAGATGGTTACAGATGATGTAGACAGTAACAGATGATGTAGCTGGCACAATGTGAAGGACCAGCAGGACGTTAATGGTTGCAAAGCAGTGCATTTGGCTGGCTGAGTAATGCTCAGAACAGACTTTCAGGACAAACGAGCTTTACTTTAAGCCTCAGTATGAAGAATTTTACAGGTGTTTGGGTGTCTGTGGGAAGGACGGATTCCAAAGTGTAAAGAGTAATACAGTTGAGTAATACAGGATAGGTTCCTTGGAACTGTGGCAGCATGAGATACCAATGCATATGACAAAAAAAAGATGACAACATCATGGTTTTCAAGGCGAGAGGAAAGTGTGATGCAAGCAACAACAAACAAGATGACAAGAATACTTGTTGAAGACCATCCCAAACACATAGCTCAGGTGAAAATTACAAGGTCATTTGTTTTCAGAACACGCTCTGAGTACATTGAGTGGTTCAGAGCAGAACTCAAGTGCTCTTGTGCAAACTCAAGCATTTAGACCTGTGCTGGCTCTGAGCAAAGCAAGCCAGAGGGCTCTGTGCCATCCTCTGTGAAGCAGGGATTTTTGCCCAGGCCCAGGGCTGGAAACAAATAAGAACAGATTAGCATTTTTTTCTTCTAAACTGTAGAAAATATTCAGAATCATGTCTCCAGAAAGGTCAGAGGAAAAGGAATTGCCTCGCTCTGGCCTATATTTTAAGTAGGCTTCTGGTGCTTACAGAGATGAGTGGATCTAAACCAAAAGAGGGGAGGTTTAAGTTAGATGTTAGAAGGGAATTCTTTACTCAGAGACCAGTGAGGCCCTGGCACAGCTGCCCAGAGAAGCTGTAGGTGCCCCATCCCTAGAGGCACTCAGAGCCGGGTGGGATCTAATGGGGAATCTGATCTAATGGTTGGCAATCCTGCGCATGGCAGGGGTGCTGGAACTTGATGATGTTAGAGGAACCTTCCAACCAGAGCCATCCCACGATTCTGTGATTTACAGCAATGCCATGGAGGACCTGAAGGGCAGCAAAGACTCCAGAGTTTAATCACATAGAATTATTGCCAAGTACGAGACAATTACTTCTGGTCTGGAAGGCATATCCTGATCCTGTGGGAAGTGGGAAGTACACTCCATGTGTCAGGCCTGGAGGGAAGGAGACTGAGGGCTGCCCTGCCCTGAGCTTCCTGCAGAGGGGCACTGGGGAGAGAGGTGTGGTCCCTTCCCACTGATACCCAACAGCAGATAGGAAGGATGGCTCAGAGCTGTGTCGGAGAGGTTTGGGTTGGACATCAGGAAGAACCTCTTTTCTGAGAGGGTGTTTAGACACTGGGATAGCCTTCCTGGAAACGTGGTTGGTGCCCCATGCCTGCAGTGTTCCAGAGGCATCTGGGTGATGATCTTCATGACAGGTTTATCTGAGGTTCAGCCCTGAGGTGGTCAGGCAGTTGGACTGGGTGATCTCTGTAGGTGTATTCCAACTGAACCATTCTATTTGATTCAGTGCTAAAGGAAAACACATGTGCTTACAGAGGAGAAGGCAGGGTTACACTGAGAGGTCTGTGGATTTACTCAGGCAGACACATCACCCTTTCATTGCTTCACTGTCGCTTTGAGAGGTGTTTGATCCTCCCACAGGAAGCACAACAGCAGTAAGAGCTCGGCAGCACCTGAACCCACTTCCCAGCGTCGAGGCCTCGCTGCTTCGCGCGGGCCGAGCAGAGCGGGACCGAACCGGAATCGGGCGGCGCCGAGCCGAGCCGACCCCGCGGCCCACAGGCCCCGCCCCGCGCGGCGGAGGCCGACCCGGCGGCGCTGGCGTAGGCGCTGACGCCGCGTCCCGCCTCGGGGCCAGGCCGGGTAGCGGCGGGCGAGGGGCGCCGTTAGCTGCCGGGTCGCCCCGCGGCGGTAGCCCGCCGCAGGCCATGCGGTAGCGGAACGCGCCGCGCCCGGGCTCTCGGCGGCCATGGAGCGGCTCCCGGGCGGCCGGCGGCTCCGGCTCGCGTCCTCGCTGGGGCTGGGGCAGCGCTGCTGGGAGGTGACCTTAGACGAGGAGCGGGGGCTGCTGGCCTGGCGCGACCCGCGTCCGCCGCGCCGCGGCGCCGGTGAGTGGAGCTGGGGGAGCGGAACGCTCCTGGGCCGCGGAGGGGAGGGGGCGGCGCGGAGCACCTGCCGGGCCGGGCCGCCCGCGTCGGGGCCGGCCCGAACTCGCAGGGGTCGGCAGAGCAGCGGCTTCGGGGCGGCTCGGGACGGCGTGACCCTGAGCGCGGCCGGGTCCCGCGGCTTCCTGCCCGCGCGGGGCGCTTTGTCGAGGCGCTTTGTCGAGCCGAGCGATTCCTGCACGTGTCGGGGGCTTTCCCCTGTCAGGGGCCAGCCGGGGTAACCCGCAGCGTCTGGGGTTCAGAGTCCAGCCGCTGAAGGCAGATGGCGGTTTAAGGAAACGCGGCCCTTCGGAGCGTGGCAGGCAGCGGAGCCTCAGGGCCGCGCCGGGCCGCCCGGGGGCAGAGCAGCTCCGGGGCTGTCGGCTGTCGCGATGCGGAGCCTAGAGCTGTCCCAGGAGCCCGGCACGTGATGCAAGCGCTGCGAGCTGTTAAGCATCTGGGAATGAGGCTCTGATAACAAAGGGAGGAACCCGACCTGCAGCTGGATGAGAAAACCTCCGGCTTGTTTAATTTCGCCCTATTGTTTCTTGTTCATACGTGGCAGCCTGCAGCTTTTGATGTTACATTTACGTTAATCACAGTAGGACGTGACGCACTCAGGGAACTTTAAAAGTGGCTTTATTTCATCGATGTGACTTTGATACTGCTAAAAAAAACACTTCTACGCTGGGGCTGTTTTGTTTTTTCTCAAGTAGTTATACTTGAAGCAGTTTGCTTTCTGAAAGCCTCTATGGAACAAAAGGTTTAACCTGTGTGCATTCCAGTCCTGGGAATATTTAATACAGACTATAATAGTCTATAATGTGCTAATAGAGTTGTTTGTAGATTCCCATTTGTGCGGTTTCAGTAGGACTGACTTTAAAAACTGCAGATGGGAGAGTTTATTGCCAAAACGATGTGACAGAATTGTAGGATGACTTCTGAAAATACCTGTGTACCAACGGCCTCAAGTTTTTTGCTATTTTTTAGGTGGCATTTTATCACATTGTTTGACCTCTTGGTTTTTATAGAATTGTTACTCCCATTATTCTTATGTCCCTATTAGCATGGGAACATCAGGAAATGTTTCATGTATTCCTTCTTTTCACAGCAGCTGCTGTTGTGTGGATAACTGCTGTCATCTTCACTTTAGGGATGGAGGAACTGAGACAGAGAAAGAGAGGAACTAAATGAGCAATAGAAGGGTTGACTAGAAGGTTGTTGTGGAAAGGTGAGGTGTAGATATCTCCAGTCCCAGGCAAGTTCCCAAACTTGACTACTAAAATAGTTCTTCCCTTACCACATACTTTATTTAAATATTTTCCTGTTGTTTTCTTTTTAAATCAGAATTTCTTAATTATTTGTGATGTTCAAAGAAAGAGGCAAAGAAGAGAACTGTGTGAATTAGTTGTTGCAGTTTACATGACTGCAACTTGGCCGTGGTTTGAATACGTTTTTTGAATACGTACTCTTCATAATGATAACATCAAACCCATACTTTGTTGTTGTCCTCTTGCTATTGGGTGTATGCAGTTTGACTTAGTCTAGGTTTTTATCAGCAATATAGCTGGGAAGTGTAGTTTGATACTTTAGGTGTGCAACTAAATGAACTTAAAACTGCAAAGACAAATTAAATCTGCTGAGTTATGATATAAAAGGAGGTAAGAGGAACTTAGCTGAAATACGGAGTTTCAAAGCCTTTTGGGGACAATTGCTCCCACTAGGTGAAGTGGCCCCTCCTTTGTTGAAAATTTTGTTGAATTCTGTGAAGTCCTTCTAAAAATCCTTTTCTGAACTTCTTGGTTGACTGATAAGCTACAGCAAGTTCAATGGCAGCTCCTTTCTACTTTACGAAACTTGCTTTAGACTATACATGCCCAACCTACCATTTGATGGTATTGTTTCTCTTGTTAATGTTTTAATAAAAAATAAAAAGTTTAGTTACGAACATTAATTATATTACATATTTTATATGCAGCAAGAGATAATTGTTCTTTACTCAATGTGGCCCAAGCAAGCCAAAATATTGGACACCCATGCTTTACACCATGAAAGAATGCCGTGGAGCTTTAAAGCTCTATTATTACACCTCTGAAGTTTACAGGTGCTTACAAGCAAGTTGTCTTGTTTATTTGCTGAGCCAAGCTAAATATGAGCCTGTCCTGAAGCCATTTTGAGGGCGCATGTCAGAATCCTGGAAGTGGTAGAGGCAGAGTGGGACATAATAAACAAGGCCCTTTTTGGGGTGGTTTCTGAAGCGGTACTCAGCTGGAGATTATTTAGGTGGCAAGCCTGGTTACTGAGTGTGGCTGCTCTCCTGTTCTTACAGGATTTTGAGATATGTAGAATCAGAGGAGGAAAGAGAAAGTGGGAGAAGAAATAGAAATGCTTAAGTGTTCTGGAAGCACAGCTGTAATGGGTGTAGAGAAAATACAATAAATGATGTAACTTCTCTGCTTAAAGCCCTGATTAATTTGTGTGTTTTCTGAGCTTGTGTTTCAGATGGCAGTTTTATATTACTGCCATCTTTCTGTTTTTCAGCTTTAAGACCTGGGATGGCTCATTGTGTTCCCTGCAATTATATTGGAAACATGAGCATCGTGCATGATGGTATAAATAAGTTTTGTAACATGGAAGGTGGTTAGTTAGAAGCATATAATTTCAGAGGTGTAGCTTGACCAAGATTGGTATCTTTCCTCCATTTAGCGTTTAACTACGTGACTACTGTACAGAATGCCTAAATAGAGACTTAATTATATAGTAGAAGCATTCTGTATTTTTGTTGTTGAGTAGGTAGTCATTGCAGTGAAACAATCTTTAAAAATATCAAATCAGAGCTGCCTGTATTCTGTTTATTGGCTTGCACTTAGTTGTGCAAATTAAAGTGGTTTGGTACATATTTTCTCAAAGTCTTCAGACTTTTACAGGTAAGGAACGAGTGCTATTAGTTAGAGGTACTGTAGAAGTACTGAAATAAGCATCTCTTCCTTACTACATCCAAATTCAGGATCATATGGGAAGCAACAGAGACTGTTGTGTTTAGGGAAAGTGTAGTTCTGTAAAATATGGGAACATCCACTGGTTTTGCATCTTTGCACAACGAAAATATTAAAAAAAAAAAAAAGCACTGTTAAAATGCCACTTGTGAAGGAATAAATATGAATTCAGCAATATTACTTCTAATTCTGTCACTGAGAAGGTGATAATAAAAACATAACTTGCTTATTCAGGCTGTGGTATGTTTTTATATCCTTAACTCTTTGGTACTGTTTACTTTCCCTCGTCCTACTGGACCTTATTTAGCAGTATTGTATTTTCAAGAGCTCTCTTCAGTGCTGAGGTTCCCATTTCCTGTTCTCTGGTTGGATTTGTATGAACTCAGAGTGAAAGCCTTTATCTGAATTTCTTCAAATGCTTCTCATTCACTTCTAGCTATAAACCTTTTTTCCTAGGCATCTCTTCAAGTACCCTGGAGAACGTTCTTTTTCAACCTTGAAACTCTTGTACATGAGATTGAGTTGTAAATCATAAGTAGCTTATGCAAAGCTGCATTGATCAGTTGTTCTCTATTGTTCTGTTATTTCCTTGTATTGATGGCACGTTCTGTTTTTCAAGTAACGTGATAAAACTTTATGTGCAAAATTCTGTAGGTTATGTACTGTGTGTGTGTACTTAATGGACTTTGTAAGTCTTGGCTAAGACAGGACCGTGCCTGGTTCTAAGGCATTATAAACACAGAATGAGATTGTTCTGTCACTTTCCTGTTCTGGTGGTGGTTGTTATTGTAAAGTACAGGCAAGAGGGCTATAATCAAACTAGACACTGGACTGTGTACTTTTGCTTGTTGTGTGCTCTTAACCTTCTTTTTTTGTTCTTCAAAATTCTATTCCCTCAGCTTGTTTTTTTGCCTGCTTTCTCCTTAAAACAACCCCTTGAGGAAGCCTCAGGGCAAGCGTTAACAAGACCAGCGCCATTCTGGCGGTGTGGATTGTAGAGAACGCTCAGTTTAATAAACACAGTACAGAGATGAAGGAGGTGGGCTTGCTTGGCACCAAGGTTTGTTCAGCACCTGCAGTGTGCTGATGCGACCCTCGTCAAGGTGGCCTTTCTGCACTTGCTTGCAAGTGGCATAGGGCTGGTAAGGAAATCTGATCCATACTTATGTCTTGGTGGTTCCACTGGCTGTGTTGAGCTGGTAGGATATGAGGAGTAACAACCCAGGCAGTTGCTTCTTCCCGTGGAACATGCATTATTCAAATATAGATGAATGGTTAATTAACCAGTACATGTTTTTCTACATGTACCTGGTTGCTTTGCTGTTGTTCTGATTGTCTGCTTATTGTATTTTCTTTTAGTTTTTCCTTAGGGGGAAAACATGCAACTTGTTAAGTAGCTTCTTGTTTTAGCAGTGAAATATGCTAGTCACAAATTTCTTGTTTTGTTTTGTTTTTTTTACTTCTGGTAATTATGTTTTGTACCCTTACGTAGAATTTTCACTTATCCTGGTCTTTATTAGATATTACTTTTTGTAGTATGTAATCAATATAATTTAACATGCCTTATGGAGAGCTTTCTTACTATTTTCTAGCCTCCAGCTGAAGGAAAGTTTAAACTTAGGACCAAAAAAAGAAAACCAACCCTTAGTGTTTGTGCTGTCTGTAACAGGAAGCTGGTTTTCAGAGTGACTGAAAAAACGTCTTTTGTTTTTAATCCTTAATATTTTTTAAGTCAGGGAAGTAGTCATACTGGTAAAACTGAATGCCAGTGTACTTATGGGGTTGAGCTGATTATTTAACAGAAAACTAAATGTTGTAATCACAGTTGGTTTTTATCTTTTGGCACGCTGAGCTAGTGCATTTCATAGAGAATTTGGCCCGTGGAACACATGGTTGGCAGTGATAAATGAACAAATCTTGACTTGGGTTCTGAGCAGGTTTGCTTGCGAAGTGTTCTTTGGGGGTTGCAAACAGAGATGATATACTAAAAACCCATTCCTACAGAGAAAATGCGCTTAGTGGCCTTTAGTTCCTTTATTCAGAAGGCAATCTCAGTTAGTGTTCACCTTATGGTGTGCTTTTTCTTCTTTCTTAATGTGGGGAAAAGTAGTAGGCATTTAACACTGGTGTCATTTTGGTGATACCTCAGTTTGCACTGACTCAGAATGAGCAATGAGTGGCACAGCCATCGTGCTGGGAAGATTGTTGATTGGATTATCTTTTTTTCTTTGTTATTTGCCATGTCTCTACATTCAGCTGCTCTGGCTTTATTGTGTTTTGTATTAGAGATTGAACAAGGTGAGACATGAAAACATGAACGTCTGAGGTTGTTTGAGTTTAAGCTTAAGAAATTTGACCTGTACTTCAGCATTTTTGCACTTGAGATTCAATCTCTTGAATCGAGATAGAAAGGTTGAAAGAAGCGTGTTATTTCATGTGGAATTTTGCTTAGGTAGATAGTGAGGAGGACAAGGGGAAATGATTTCAAACTAGAAGAGGGGAGATGTAGATTAGATGTTGGAAAGCGTTTTCTTTGACGGGGCAGTGAGGCCCTGGCACAGCTGCCCAGAGAAGCTGTGGGTGCCCCATCCTTGGAGCAGCTCAAGGCAGGGTTGGATGGGGCCCGGTGCAGCCTGAGCTGGTGGGGAGCAGCCCTGCCTGTGGAAGAGGAGTTGGAACTGCATGGTCTTTAAGGTTCCTTCCAAATGAAGCTATTCTATGATTTTGTAACACTAAGTTATATAGTGATAGAGTTATATGTCTTCTTTTTGGCACAAAAGGACATAGGAGTCCTGGTAGGTGCCAAGTTGAACACAAGGCTGCAGTGTGCCCTTGCTGCTGAGGAGGCTAATGGTGTTCTTGGCTGCGTTAGGCAAAGTACAGTAGCAGATTGAGGAGGTCATCCTTTCTCTGTGCTCAGAATTGGTGAGGCCACGCTTGGTGTGCTGTGCCTAGTACATGGATGTACTGGAAAGTCCAACACAGGGCCGCCAAGGTGACGTGGGACCCGGAGAGCCTGTCCTTTGAGGGGAGAGGCTGAGAAAGCTGGGCTTGGCCAGCGTGGAGAAAAGGAGTCTCACAGGGATTTCATCAATGTCTATAAATACCTGAGGAGAAGGTGCAAAGAAAATAGAGCCAGGCTTTTTTTGGTAGAGGCCTGGTGCCAGGACAAGAGGCCATGGGCACAGACTGGAACATAGGAGGTGCTGTCTAAACATGAGGCAGCACTTCAGCACTGTGTGGGTGGCTGAGCACTGGCACAGCTGCCCAGGGGCTGTGAAGTCTCCTCCTTGGGGATCTCCAGAAGCTGCCTGGCTGTGACCCTTGGCACTCTGCTCTGGGGGTCCCTGCTGGGGTGGGTTTGGGCAGAGGAACGCAGAGGGCACTGCCAGCCTCAGCCATGCTGTGATTTGTACTGATACAAATTCTTGAGCTCTGTTCAAACACAAAAGCTTAGTTTTCGTAAGTAGGGAATTTCTAAATAACGTGTTTGTATGTGAGAGAGCTTTGCGTCTTTCTGGCCCTCTACAACTGCTGTATTAAGGAGTGTGTGCTTTTGACTATACTGTAGATTGGTGAATTCTGTCAGAGCAGTGGAGCTGCTGAAGGGCATTATTGACATAGCTGGTGTTTATAGAAGTTTCTGAAAGATTCTCTCTGATCCCACAGATTCACAGAGGGGAGGTGAGATCAGGCTGGTTTGTTGTTGTTGTTTGTTCTGGGTTTTTTTTGTTTGTTTGTTTTTCTCCCTCATGTTTTTGTTCAGTAATGTGTTTTTCAGGGATACGTAATTCTTCTGCACATATTAAACTAAAGTACTTATTCTAAGTGGGTTTTTCTCTTGCCACACCTGTGAAGAGATTTGCTAGAAAAGCAGGACTTCCACAGTCGTTCTCAGGAGAATATATCTGAAGATCAAGGAGAGCTTAGTAGAGCTGATTTCAGGGTCCAAAGTTGTTAATATAAGTTAGGTATTTTGTGCTAAAATGCATGCTCCAAATAAATGCTTCCTGTCATACTGATTTGGAAGTGGTTTTCATAGGACCATGGAATCTTAGAATTGCTCAGGTTGGAGAAGAGCTCAAAGATCATCAAGTCCAACCTCAACCTACCCATGCTATCCTAACTCCCCATTACTAAATCATGTCCCTGAGTGCCACATCCAAACTGTTTTTAAATGCATCCAGGGATGGTGACTCAAACAGTTCCCCAAGGAGCCTATTTCTGTGCTTAACAACCCTTTCTGTAAACTTTTTCCTGATATCCAACCTAAACCTTCCCTGGTGCAACTTAAGGCCATTTCCCCTCATCTTGTCACCAGTGAGAAGAGACCAACACCACTCTTGCTGTCGTCACCTTTCAGGTATTTGAAGAGTGCAGTAAGGTCTTCCTTCAGCTTCCTTTTCCCCAGACTAAACAACCTCATTCCTTCAGTCACTCCTTGCAGGGTGTATGCTCCTAGCTCTTCAGAAGAGCGTCTCTTGATCTGTTTGCTATTTGTGTGTTTGGCAAGCTTTCACTTTTTCCTTTTTTTTAAAAAAAAACAAACAAACAGAAAACGCCTAATAGAACAATAACTTCTGTTGCTACTCCTATCATAGAAGCTAAACAGTATCCAATATATCATGCTTGCGTAATTTCTGGCTGTCAATAGAGTATGATAGCATACAACAATTGAGAAGAGCTGCTGGCAGAAGGAGGAAAAAAAAGCAACTCAATTAGTAGCAAATGAGCTGTTGTCACCACTGTGAAGAGGTCATGAAAAATCTTTCATTTTACATTCCTTAATATCAACATGGCACTTCTTCAAATTAGCAAGAATTATAGGAAATGTAGAGTACAGTAACAAAACTATTGCTCCTTTTTGTCTAATATCTCTTACTTTCTCATATAGCAATATATAGATATGTAGTCGTAAGAGAATTATTATTTATGAGTTGCAGATGACACCAAGCTGGCAGGAAATGTGAATGTGCTTGAGGGTAGGGAGGGTCTGCAGTGATCTGGAAAGGCTGGATTGAGGCCAGTGAGATGAGGTTCAACAAGATCAAGTGCCAGGTTCTGCGCTTTGGCCACAACAACCCCAAACAACACTACGGGCTTGGGACAGGGTGGCTGGAAGACTGTGTGGAAGAAATGGACCTGAAGGTGTGGTTGATGCTTGTCTGAACATGAGCCAGCAGTGTGCCTAGGTGACTAAGAAGGCCAAAGGCATCCTGTCTTGTATCAGAAATAGTGTTGCCAGCAGGAGCAGGGAAGCGATCATCCCTCTGTACTCAGCTCTAATGAGGTTGCAGCTTGAATACTGTGTTCAGTTTTGGGCCCCTCACTACAGGAAAGACACCAAGGCTCTGGAGTGTGTCCAGAGAAGGGCAGTTGAGCTGTGAGGAGTCTGGAACACAAGCCTTAAGAACAGCTGGGGTAATTGGGATTATTTAGTCTGGAGAAGAAGACACTCAGGGTGACTTTATAGCTCTCTCCAACTACCTGAGGGGAGGCTATAGTGATGTGGGGGTCAGCATCTTCTCCCATGTAACTTGCAGTAGGCCTCAAGTTGCAACAGGGGTGATTCAGGTTGGATGTTTTCTTAACATCTCGAAAAAAGTGGTCAGATGCTGGTACAGGCAGCTGGGGAGGTGATGGTGTCACTGTCCCTGGAACTGCTCAAAAAACATTTAGATGTGGCACTAAGGAACATGGTTTAGTGTGGAATATTGGTGATAAGTGAGCAGTTTGACTGTATGATCTTGGTGGTCTTTTCCAACCTTAGTGATTCTATGCTTCTGTATACATTTGTATGCGTGCTGCTTGCGTGTACATAAATACACAGAATTTTCGGTTCCATTTAAGTTTTTTTTGTTTGTTTGTTTTTTGTTTGTTTGTTTTAAGTCAAGATAAAGGCTGGGAAGTTTGAAAGTGCTAATGAAAATGAGACTAACTTCTCTGTTTGACAGGACTCATGAAGACTGAGAATGTGTTGAGAGCGTCAGAGAGGGGGGGAAAATGTTGTGGGTGGAGAAAATTATTTCATAATGTAAGAAAAAGAGGTCTTCAGAAGCACTGTCTTTCAGAATTAATGTTGATGAAAGGGAAATACATTTAGCAGTACATAAACATAACATTTAGAATTTGCTTCTTAGGAGATGTGAAAGTTTTAAAGTCTATTGGGATTTAAAAATGTAAGAATTCATATGAATGCCCTTCTTTTGTAAGCCGTCTACTTACTGGAGAGTGGCAAATAGCCTTTGTAGTCTTTGCCACTAGATTTAGTTGCATGTCCTTTGAAATAACCTGTGCTGTTCATTGACACATATCTGGGTTAGAGGTCATTGAAGGGGCAATTTCTTCGCTCTGAAAGCAGCATTACTGGATTTTGGCTTCATGTGAAAAACGTTTTTATGCTCAGAATATCTACCTTTCACAGAAATTGTAGTCATTTTAAATATTAATGAAGGTAATGCATAGGTGATTATGGATGGTGTGCTTGGAGTAAATGCAAGAGGAAATTGGAAATATTCAGCAGATTTCTACTTACATTCTTGACTGTGTTTAAGAATGAGTTGCTTTAAATGTATTACTGTATCATGTATAGAAATAATCATTCTGGTGCTGTTTTAAGATGTACATGTGTAAAACCTTGTGTTCATACAGATAACTGTTTTGTACCAACCTCTGAGATCATTGCTGTAGAAGAAACTGAACTGAACAAGAAACAGCATAGTACTGGCAAATGGCAAAAAATGGCAAAGCCCCATGCTTTCACAGGTAAGGCACATAGAGGCTCGGGAGGCACACAGTGATTATTTTGTTGGAGGTATCTTAGGGCAGACAGGAAAGGAATCTTTAGAATGAATATTATTTTTAACAGAAAAGATGTATATAAGATATCTTTCAGCATGCATTTATATTTTCTTTGAAAAATTAAACCCTTCTTTTAGGAACTCATGAGTTACATCGTCAAGTGCTAGCTAATGTTGTATTTCTGCTGCTGGATGGATCTACAGTAGAACAGTTGCTTTATACTGCTTCACTAGGAAGTCAGAAGGCTGAAAAAAATGACCCCTACATGTTTGGGTTTGTTTGTTTTTGTTTTCTTTTTAATTATCCCTAACTGTCAGAGTGTGTGCATATAAATGTTGTTTGTGCTACTGACTGTGATTTTGAAGTGCCAAGAAATGTTCAGACTGTTTTGGGGAAACAGTGCTGCAAAGCAGGGACAAATGGGATTGCTCACATAACAAAGGTTGATCTTATAGAGTGCTTTCTTCACATTCAGTCCTTCAGTATTACTGTTTGGTGATACTGTAGATGGAAAAGTAAGAACACTTACGTTCTCATCAACCTAGTTCAAAATACACAAGAAGATTTAAACTTTTTTTCTATTATTACAATTTTTTTTTTTAAACTACTTTTTCTCAAGTTTCAGCTTTATGAAATTAAATGCACCCTGTTCTGTTGGTTACATGGGACCTGATACAAGTATATCCCAAACCCTTGTAAGCTTATGGCCGTTTATATCAGGTAGATAATGCAGGCTTGAATATAGCTTAAAAAATCAGTGTATGCTTAGTGAACTTGCGTACGTCTTGTGTATCAGTTTATGGAGAATGAATTGCATTTGGTGGTTGAGTACCTGCTATGAGGTAAGGTGAGGACCTAGAGCAGATATTTTCACTTATTTTTGCAGTTTTACCTTTTATGCTTTGAATCCTTTCATTTGCAGAAATGTGTACTGAGGGTTAATTACCGCTTCTTCAGAAAGGCAGATGTTTCCGAGGGGTGCTTGAAATGCATTTCCCATTTTGCAGAACAGTCTCATTGTGTTTCCCCTTATTTATGTATTTCTCTTTATTAGTTTATTACGTGAAAAAAGCCCGAAATCACCGCTGGCGGTGCAGAGATGTGACGTTTTGGTGTGCTGATGAGTACTTGTGTAACCAGTGGATACAGGCACTGAAAGAATTACTTGAAATGCAGAGTAAGTTCAACTGAAGCACCAACATTGACAGCACAATTTTATGGATGTGTGTCAATTAAGATTATTTTGAGATCTCTGATATCTTTTTGAGCTCTTGAGGCTAGCTTCTGCTTATGAAGTAAGTGAGGTGGGAATTGAAATGTCTCACTTCTCTTGTCATTACTTTGCATCACACGTATTTTCTAAGCTGTACTAAATGTGTATTTTACTCTCAGTCAGGACTAAAATGTCTTGCACCTTTTCCCTGGATATAATTTTCTTTTTTTTGCAAAATAGAGACACATTGGAAACTTAGCAGAGATTTTAAAAGATTCTGAGAAGGAGCAAGTTTAAAATTGGAAATTTGAGGTACTCTGGAGATCTAAGGGCAAGTATTATAGTAATTGTTACACTTGTGGGCGACTTTTTCCGCTTTGCGTATCCACTCTTTGTATTTACCAGTGTGTGAGGGCTGCTCCAAAAGTAATGTCTCCTATTTTATTATGTTGGCCCACAGTGTCATAGGCAGATGTTGGTGGCAGTAGAAGTTGAATCTCCCCACCAGCATCCTGTTACATGTTGTTGCTGTGTGAGAGATGGCAGCAGAGGGGCAGTCTGACAAAATGACATCCGACATCGAAGTGCATATGAAGCAAAGGTGTGTCAAGGAATTCCTCTATGCAAAAAAAAAAGACCCACCTGCTGACATTCATCTGCACTTACTGACCATTTGTGGAGACTGACAAGTAGATGTGAGCACAGTGAAGCAGAGGGTGGTGTGTGTCAGCAGTGGTGATTGTGCCTGACCAATGTGCTGGCCTTCCATGATGGAGTGAAGGCTTTGGTGGATGGGGGAAGGGTGGTGGATGTCATCTGCCTGGACTTCTGCAAAGCCTTTGACATGATCCCTCACCACATCCTTCTCTCTAAATTGGAAAGGTGTCGATTTGAAGGATGGACTGTTAGATGGATTAGGAATTGGCTGGCTAGATGCAGCTAGAGGGTTGTGTTCAGTGGTTCGGTGTCAGGGAGGAGGCCTGTCACAAGAGGCGTCCCTCGGGTCGGTCTTGGGACCAGTGCTCTTCAACATCTTCATCAGTGACACAGACAATGGCATTGAGTGCACCCTCAGCAAGTCTGCAGATGACACCAAGCTGAGTGGTGCAGTCGATACACTGGAAGGAAGGGAAGCCATACAGAGAGACCTGGACAGGCTGGAGAAGTGGGCCCATGAAAACCTAATGAGGTTCAATAAGGCCAAGTGCAGGGTGCAGTAACTTGGGTTGGGGCAATCCCAGGTATTTATACAGACTGGGGGATGAGCCCCTTGAGAGCAGCCCTGCGGGGAAGGACTTGGGGGTCCTGGTGGACGAGAAGCTGGACATGAGCCAGCAGTGTGCGCTTGCAGCCCGGAAGGCCAACTGTGTTCTGGGCTGCATTAAAAAAGGGGTGGGCAGCAGGGAGGGAGAGGTGATCGTCCCCCTCTACTCGGCTGTTGTGACGCCCCACCTGCAGTACTGCGTGCAGGCCTGGGGCCCCCAGTACAAGAAAGATGCAGAGAATGAGTCCAGAGGAGGGCAACTAAGATGATCAGAGGGCTGGAGCATCTCTCCTGTGAGGGAAAGGTTGAAGGAACTGGGATTGTTGAGCTTAGAGAAAAGAAGGCTCTGGAGAGACTCTTTGTGGCCTTCCAGTGCTTGAAGGGAGCATATAAACAGGAGAGGGAGTGGCTGCTTGTGAGGGTGGATAGTGATAGGACAAGGGGGAATGGTTTTAAACTGAGACAGGGGAGGTTTACGTTAGGTATTAGAAGGAAGTTTTTCACACAAAGAGTGGTGACGCACTGGAACAGGTTGCCTAAGGAGGTTGTGGATGCCCCATGCCTGGAGGCATTCAAGGCCATGCTGGATGTGGCTCTGGGCAGCCTGGTCTGGTGGTTGGTGACCCTGCACATAGCAGGGGGATTGAAACTAGGTGATCATTGTGGTCCTTTTCAACCCAGGCCATTCTGTGATTCTGCATGGGCATGCAGATTTTTGAGTGTGACATACATGCTCTTGTTTGTCAGTGATGAAAATGCATAGTTAATGGTGGTTCCTGCATTGAGAAAGTGTTCTGTAGGTGAGAATTTGCTCTATCGAATAGTGTTATTGTGCTCCTTGTATCTGTTCTAATAAATAAATAGGAGGCATTACTTTCAGGATAATATATTTACCTTTTGTGGAAAGAGTTCTGAGTAATAATTTCTAAAACTCTTGGGCATTTACTTTATGGAAGGCTAGGTATAGTTTAGAAGGAATTACCTGTGTCGATATCTGTCAGGAAATAGTAAGAAGGAAATAACTCCACAACAGAAGGCAAGCCAAGGGTAACAGTAGTACAGCCTCAGCTGTGTCTGAGCAGGATGAAGGATAGCAACAGGGTCCTATCTGCAGTCTAGACAACACAAAGTGATGCTGACTATCCAGGGGGCCAGGCAGGAGCAACAGAAGGTGGGTGGAGGCAGGACTGGAGGAAAGATAACTACAGTATAGGTCTGAATTCAATTTGAAAGCCAGAGCCAGAGAAGAGACTGGAGACAGGTACAGCTAAAATATGATTCAGGTAAGGACTTAAGGCTTAGAGACCAAAAATAGATATTTAACAAAAAATGTTTGTTTGCATAGGCATTGAGTGTGTGCCTCTTACTACTGATTTTCTTTTCCATACGGTACGTGTGGGGCCTGACTTCCAATAAAGTCATTTAAGAAATGGATTTTATGTGCCTACTAAATTGGATCTGAGAGACATATGGCCTGGACAGTTATCTCCAAATGTTTTTTCTGTTGGTAACTTTCTTAAAAGGTGACATTCTCAGAAAAGATAGTGCTTTGGGCCTTTGGTAACTTTAAACCATCCAAACAAGTCTAGCTTTGTTTAGCTGGATTTATTATGTAAGTGTATTGAACTAATACTTGTTTATTCCATTAAAATAAAAATTTAGAACATATTTAGAATGTTGTCTGAGGAAGTGGAAATGTTCTAATAGATAACTGTGTTCTATACCAGAGTGCAGACCAAAGCAGTTGCTTGTGTATATTAATCCATATGGAGGAAAGCGACAAGGGAAGAGGATTTATGAACAGAAAGTTGCTCCACTTTTCAGTTTGGCTTCTATTTCTACTGATGTTGTCGGTGAGTAAAGAATGTTTTAGTACCTTGATAAACATTATATAGATTTTGAAGCATCTCTGTGTAGTTTAGTTCTTTCCTTTATTTATTTTTTTAAGTTTTGGTACTACTGAATTTCTCCATTTATTAAATACTTTTTCAGTTTTACTGTTTAAAAACAATTGTTCACTTGCACAGTTTTTAGTGAAATTTTTTTTTACTCTTACCCTATTTTTCAATTCTTTCTTTGGCATAAAATTATTTGAAGCACGGCTTATGGGCAAGTTGATTTTATGTCATACTGGCAGTAGAGTTATCCTTATTAATAAATTAATAACAATTTTAACAAATGCATATACCTTTTTATAACAATATTTTGTAACATTAATTTTTAAGTGTGTATTTTTTCATTTCTTCGTAGTAACTGAACATGCTAACCATGCTAAGGAGAACTTATTTGAAGTTAATATTAATAAATATGATGGGTAAGTAACTTCACTTGGTGTTGTGGGTTTTTTTAAGTTAGCTGATATGTATGTGTTCTTGTCTCTAACTTAAAATAGCATTAATTGATGATGTGTTTTTTGCAACAAATCAAAGATCCAGGATGTGTTCTTTTCCACAGTAGGATGTGCACTTTTAGGAGTGTCTAAGGAAAACTGCACTGTTTCAGTAAACGTGTTCAACACATAATCTATTCAAATGAAATATAATGGTGTTTGCATGAGGCTGTTGTGCAGATCAATGTAAGATTACTTTTGCTGGTCCAGAACCTGAGCGTTCTGTGGCAGCCTGGAAGGTATCATGAATTGTTTTGTAGTGCAGATGACTTTGACGCATACATGAGTCCAAAAAATTGCTTTAGTGGCATCTTGGCAATGTGTAAAACCACTCTTGTCAAGTGCAGATAACTGCCGGGTTATTCAGCTTTATATTTTTCACCTGTATTTCTTCTGTTTGTGAAGTTACTGGTTCAGAAGAAGACCCAGCTGAACAGTAAAATTGCATTCTGTTATTATGTCTGCTATAGAAGCAAAATACTTTAGTAAATAAACTGTCATTCTAGTTCTGTTTCATGACATGAAGTGAATTATGTAGTGATATAATAATGAAAATGTGTGCAGAACCTATGTAAATAAACTCATATCTACAGTATTTTAAAGTTATGTCTTCCTATGCTTGGAGGCAGGTGCTTTTAAGCTGGTAAATTACAAAAATAAAAAATCTCCTATCTCTTCAGAGTATTCTTGCAAATCTGTATGCATGGTTGTAAATCAAGTAAGTGCATAATGTTGGCAAATTGTTACAGTTAAAAACTACATTTGCAAATTGAGTTCCTTGACTTTAAAGCAAGATCCTAGACTTGCTTTAAAATGAACAGGTGTTTTTTGTTTTTTTTGTAGTACTGACAGTTTCCTCAATTTTGCAAACATTCAAAGAAAGTAACTTAGAAGTTAGTATTCTTAACTATTTCATTAGAATTAAGTATATGAAGTATATAATACTGAAGGTTGATGCAGTTTCAGTACAGAATGGGGAAGAAAATTAAGCAAGTCAATATGTAGAATTGGTTATTGTAAGAAGAGGTTCCCAAAATGGTAATCGTTCTGGCCTGCAGGGTCAGCAGCTACCTAACTAGTCTACTGTCATGTGAGATTTAGAATCTATAGCTGATCTTGTTAGTTTAAAGGGGAGGACTCCATCTCTACTGCAATGTTATAGTCTTTATAGATTTAGTCTAGTAAAGTACTTAGTAGTTCAGCATGAAAGTTCTAACACTTTATATTGATGTAAATTACTATTGATGTGAACTATGTGTTGTTGCTAGCTGTGCATGTTTATGTTTCTCATTAAGTTCATTTACCATTTCATCAGAGAAGTAAAAGTGAATATTTTTTAGGAAGTACAGGAGAACAAGTTATTAACCAAATTTTGGGACTTCTAAGGAAAGAAGGAAGGCTGTAAGTGATGTTGTAATATCAACTGTGAAGACAAGCAGAGGGAACCCTTGCTTCTCTGAAAAGATTGTTAACTCTCTGAGTTAAAAACAAACAAGCAAAAACCCACAAAAACAAACTACTGAATCTTACCATGCAGTGTATCTGTATTGAACTGCGATAGTTGCATGTTCTAAGTTTAGGAATAAGAGCAGAATCTGAAAGAATAAGATGTTGAGGTGTTTAGTTCCAGACAGAGGCGGTTCTACTATCTTGGGCTATATAGCAAAATTAAAAGGAGAATGAGTCTTCCCTGTTCCAAAGCTAATCTCTAAATACAATCTCCTCCTGGCAACTTGCTTTTACAGCGAATGTCACTGAGTGTAGTGGTACTTGAAACACTTTTTTCGCATATTCGAACAATGCCTAGTGTGTACTTCAAGGATTTCTGAATCTCTCTTTGATAGTTCCACTTTAAATCTTGTGGTGGGGATTGCTTTTACTTTCTTTAATGTGATTGAGATAAAAAATTGCCCAAAGTAGCGCATGTTCTTACAATCTCTTGACTCTTCCATTCCCAGACTAGGCCTCAATGGTAGCCTGGGAACTGCAGCCGTGTTTCTAAGCCTGGCTTTTGATCATCATGTACAAGTATGTTTCCGTGGTGAACAATGACATTAGGAAGCAATTCTTCTACTCATGCTACTTTTTAAACAGCAGATCATGCGGTTAACTGAAAACTAAAATAAATAAATAAATACATCATCATGTAAATGTGTTTTTGTCTTCAAGTTCAGTAGACTCTTCTCACATACAGGAAAAGGCTTTTTGGATTCCTGCATCCAATGGTTGTTCACCTGTCCTTGCAGATCACTTCTATTAAGTGACTTTTCCTTCATTGAGTGTTTAGATTCTTTATTCAGTCTCTTCAGATTCTCTATTTAGAAAAGATGTACTTGAATTTTTTGGAACTAGATAGAGATTCCTAATGATAATTGCTTCCTTGCCTTCTCAGTGTCTATGCTTAAACCTTTTATGTGTGTTTTCTGTTTGTTCTTCCCATCTCTTCTAATACAGATTTCCTGCAGTGAGTGTACTATTCTAATAGCTCAGTTGTAGTCTGGCTTCCCCTTGAAGATGATTACTTAAAGTACCATTCATGCATTAACACAGTACAGGTTCTTGTACGTTGTTATGTAGAACGTAACTGTTTTACATGCTGTAATACTGTGCAAATAATGACTGTGTGTGGAATGAACCTGATATATGTAAGGATGATACTGGAACAAGCCCATGTAAAATTGTTTCATTTTTTTCTAGTTTTTGAATTAGTTCAGAGAGTTTGAGGTTGGAAGAGACCGTAGATCATTTAAAACTCATTTGTCTCATGGGCTTGCTACTCATGTCCTTTGGCATATCTACCTGAGTCACTCTGAAAGTAATGCTTGCTATTTATTTCCATGGAAACTACAACAACTACAAAGAGCACACTAACTGTCAGCTACAAAGCACTGTTTTTCAACATAGTCACCATTATAATCTGTGTTTTCACCAGTAATGCCTGCATGGAAAAAAAAAAAAAAAAAAAAAAAAAAACCAAGCTTCAAGGATGTCCCTTGTTTTCACTGCTGTCACCACTGCTGAAACGTGTCACTCCACTCACTGTGCCAACATACACTGTTTGTTCTCCACAAATAATCAGCAAGCATAGATGAATGTCAGTGGGTGTCATTTTCTCCACACAGAGGAATTCAGTGACACACCTTTACTTCACATGCACTTTTGTGTCACACACCATTCTGTAAGACTGCTTCTCTGCTGCCATTTGTCACACAGCTGCAAAACGTAGTGGTATATTGGGGGGAAGGTTCAAACCTATTGCTGTACCATCAACATCTGCCTTCTGAGGTCATGGGCCAGCACAACAAAATAGGGAACATTAATTTCAGATCAGTCCTTACAGTTTACTGATATCATCTTAACAAGTGAAGTGCTATTCCATTAGAAAAATAAATCCGAAATGGAAGAAGCACGCCAAGAAGGTCTCTCTTAGAGTAGTCCTCCATGAGTACCTTCGTATGTGTGTCTTGCACATTGATGACCTGATGCTTGCAATGAGTTTGATCATGCTAATTTTGTGTATGTGATTTATTTCTTTTCAACTGTCAATATTTACCCTCGATAGGAATACAGGTTCCTATTATTCTGTCATCACTAAGCCTGCACGTACTGTGTGTTACATAAAGAACACTGCCAGCATGGCATAGACCTTAAATTCACATGGAAACTTTTGCCTGCTTCCTCTTAGAGGCTACTCAGAAAGATGAGACAGGTTTCTGAAGCTGAGAAGTAAAGTAGCTAAGTTTTGAAAAGATATTTTCATTATGAAAATGGAAAACAAAAATCCTTTTCTCCCTTCTCTCAGTCTCTTAGGTCTTGACTTAGAGCTGGACAGTGTATTTATAAGACTATCTTCTCCATTCGTGAAATAAAAAATGACTGGTTTCTCAGGATTCCCTCATGCTGAAAAAACAGCAATAAGTAAATGTAAATCATCAGTTCTTAAATGTAAATCAGCTAACTTGTCCAGTGGGATATGTGCTCATTCTGCAATATCTATTGCTGACTGTGGAAGAGTAAGTGTTAGTTTCTGCATTGGAAATAATTGCTGTGGAAAACAGAAAATGTTCCGAATCCTGTATGCGTAACTTTTGATTCGTCTCATCTCTATTCAAAGTGTATTTGAACTGCAGTCTCCGGAACTCCAAAATCATAAACATTCTTTAACCAGAGTGGGCGTTTTATAAATGTGCATGAAATGTATACTGCTGTAAAATAGTTTTTTATTTCCTAGTATTTGCTTGGGTGTGAACTCTGCTGAGCTTTAACATATTGAGGATCTGTGTAGCTGCGGCACCATCTCTGACTTGAATTAATTTTGTAAACCAAAGCTTTGCTTCTGGTAACATTTAGAGCTCCGCATTGTTACCAGTGGTTATTTAGATATACGTGACTTCTGTCTGTCTGGGCTAGCAGCATGGTCAAAAGAGCATGCAAGCATGTGCTTTTCTGTTTCTAACCTTCGTGTAATGTGTGCCCCTATTAAATGCGCAGTGTTAAATCACTTCTGTCTGCATCTGTAAATACTAACTTTCCCTTTTTGTAATTTATAAATACTAACTTACCTTTTCCTTTTTTTTGTGAAAACTTAGTTGCCATTTTGCTTACTTCAGAAGCTATATGTATGGTCTTGTTCAATGTTTTCATTGTATTATTATTTTCCACTGATATCTGTCTGTCTGCATACAGCAATAGAGGATAGAGAGGGCTTTTTAGGTTGCATTCCAATATTTTTCACGCATTACAGAACTGTCTAGGTGCATTTACGGTTGTGTAGCTTGATATTTTTTTTCTGCATTTTGTTTAATGCCAAGTTGACTGTGGGCTATTATAGTCTGTAGAAGTGGATGAGGAGAAGACAATTTTGATGTGCATTGCATGCCCTAAGTAGAACATTTGCCGTGTTGTTTATTGACTGTTAGTGTGCATTCTAATTTGTGTTTCCTGGCAGTGTTGTTTGTGTTGGTGGGGACGGCATGTTCAGTGAAGTGATGCATGGTCTCATTGGAAGAATGCAGAAGGACTCTGGCATAGACCAAAATAATCCCAAAGCACCGTTAGTCCAGTGCAATATAAGGATTGGCATAATTCCTGCTGGTAAGAAAGGGTTAACTTTCAGATTACTTTTTTGATTTCTACCTGAAATTTTTTCTTATTCATAACTTCTCAAAATTAGAGCTAAGCTTGAGAAACAAGCAATAGTATTACATAAAAGCACCAAAATGAAGTCTTATATGGGTAGTTCTAGAGAAATTTATTGTTTCTTCCTTTCTCTTTTATGTCTTATGTTAATACAAGATAAGATGTGATAGTAATGCTTTCGCTCATCTGAACACATTAATGAGTGAACTTTATTGAACAGAGACTTACCTGGAGAAAAATAGTTTCTGAGTTGCACGTGCTCCACAGGGTTAGTTAGAATTGCTGTGAGAGCCTCATGGTGTTCTGATAGCAGTTTGATTCTGTTTTGTTATGGTGTTTGTTTTTTTTACCACCTTGGTTGTTATTACAGAAAGCATTCAGCAACTGTAGCTGAGGAACAAACAGTCCCCAGGTTCCAGACAGAGTTGCACTTTCTGCCCTGGCTATTTTTTAAGAGGTGCAAGGTGGTGTAACTTCACAGTTCAACCACATTTTCAGGCAATCCTGACTACCGTTGTTGAAAGGCATTTGTAAAAACTCTCATTATTCACTTTTTTGATGGTAACTTCTTCATTGATCACAGTAAGCTTTGGATCAATTTTACTGTTAAATGAGTGGCCCACGTTATCTCACTCTTCCACTTTGCAGGATACATGCATGACAGTGCCACCCAAAATTATATTCATTCTTGCAGCTGTTCAGTGGCATGTGCAAGTTGAAGGACTGTATGAAAAGGCGATGCACTTTTCAGTGCCGTTGGTATGCTGTTCTCTTTTGCTTGCCAGACACTTGAGATTTGAATTAAAGAACTGAGATGTGAAATAAATATTACGAGCGTCTGACTAGAACTAAAACACAGACTTTATGAGAAAATTTAACATCAGCAATAAAAATACATCAGGTGAAATAGAATATTTCTACCCTCAAGCATTAGGTGACTTTTTTATGTGCCTCGTATCTTTGTGAAGAATGCATCTAAATCTAAACATCTGCACTGTTGCTTGAAAGGTTAACTTATATTAGCAGTACAATCAGGATTAGTTACCTGCAGGTTGTAATGTGAATATAGCTTTATATTATTTCATTCCTGCTAGCTAGCACGTTAAAAGTTCTGTGTGGGACTTACTATATATAGGCATACTCTGATCTTATTTGTTGAACCTTAGTATTAAAATCAGATGTAAATTAAAGCAGTAGAATGTGAAGTGCTCCACCCTTCATCTCCCTTACATAGTTTTGCTTATTAGAGAAGAGTTTTTGCTTACATGATTTGGTTTCAGAAAAATTTGGTTCTTGGTGGTATTACTGACAGTAAGTAGACATTTAGGAAAAAAAAAGAGAACATTATTATTGAAAGCTATTTCTTTGCCCATGGGAAAAGGAAATGAACTAGAAGCATCATAAAACTGAGAGATTAACCTTGCTTTTTCAGCAGTTTCTTCATGCGTTTTTTCCCGTTGCAACTGAAATGTATGAGCTTCACTGAGGATTTAGCATTGCTAACATGTATCAAGTTATTTTCTTCTCTGATGTGCTTTAGTGCTTTTGTGAATATTGTTGTGTTGTAGCTGTTTGCTGTTTGAATGCATACTATATGCTGTGTTGTTCCCAAACTAACATGAGGTATGGCCTTGTAATCAGTGCTAAGGCTTAAACATTTTCAAGTCATTATTCTTTACAGTGGTGTATAAGGAAGCTTGAAGTTCTGTTAATTAGCTTTTGGATTTTAGAAGCACTGAAGATGATTCTTGTCTTGATCTGTTTGTATCTTGTGCAATACTTAAAATGCTTTAGTTAATGAAAATACAAGAAGATTGTTATAGGAATTTGGTCTGTTTATCAAACTCATTGAACAAATCTTCACCCTTTCATAACATACATAGCTATTGTAGAGACCTGAAATTGTGTATGAAATAACCAGGGCTGTGCAATGCAGTGTGCTTGGGAAGGCAGCATGATTTTTTATTTTTTTTTTTGCAGCTTCTGCTGGAAGTTTTAGTGAAGGTGTCTTCAGTGCTGCTTATGTGACTGCTGGCAGGCAGTGTGCTTTGCTTGATGTGATGGAGCTCTGAGCATGTATTGACTCCAGCAGATCCCTTGATTCCCAAAGAAAGTAGAGTTTGTTGCCAGATAATTGAAATGCTTAAAAAGAGGTAGTTGTATTTTTTGGGTTTTGTTTTGTTTTTCCAGCTGAACTGACAGTCCTAAAATAAAAAGTGAAAAGGGGTAATGCAGAGCAAATCATAAATAGAGGAAGGCTTTATCCATAGTGCTTTTTCAGTTCATTACAACCAACGTTTTGTTAAAACCTTAAGAACGAACATGTCAGTGGATGTTGAAGGTGACCATTACCCAGAGATTAAGTTCTAAAGTCTAGTTTATTTTGTGTGGTTTATTCAGTGTTGACAGGAGCCTGGGGTAAGGTGACAGCATCTCTGTGGGTTTGCTGTATTAACATGGCATATTGCTATGCTTTTGTTGTGTAGAGACTGTATTGAAACTAGCACTCAATTCAGCAGACTTGATCTTAGTTCAGAGACTGGCAATTAATTGAAGGTTTGAAACTGCAAATGCAACAAATATTAAAGTCTTCCAATGCAAAAATCTCTGATCTTTTTTTGAGGAATTAGCTTTATTTCATAGGCAGAATCCCATTCTCCGCTAACTTCTTAAAATTTAATAGTTCTTGTAAGGCATTTCTTTCTAAAAAAAAGTCTTTGCTTGGCCCTTTCAGGATCACAGAATCACAGAATTGTAGGATAGCTGGCAGTAGACTGTTCTGATTCCTTTATGTGTCTTTTGTTTAAGAAAAATAATGCTGTTTTATGATTTCTTGTGTATTTTTATGAAATAACTTGTATTTTAGTTTACATGAATAAAGGCTTCTATTCAAATATCTTCTTTAATTTCAAAATTTCTATATTAGTTGCAGCCATTTTTTAAATCTGCCAGTTGACTGTATTTCCTGTTGAAAGTACTCAGAAGTTGTAGCAACCAGACAGTTCCACACTGTAGGGTGGTAACTAAAAGGCAGTGCACCTACAGCAACTTCTCTTTACTTAATATTTCCTGCCAGTGCCAGCTAGCCTTAAAGTAAATTCAGCTGTGGTTTTTCAGTATATCCAGAGTGATTGATAGTATGCCTACATAAAACTTAAAACCAGAGAGAACCTTTTATATTTTAAATGTGACATTGAGGTTTTGTCCAGATGTTCTACTTTTAAAATTATATGCTCTAGAGTAAGCCAGAGTGATTTTTTTTTTTTATTTTTTTTATAACTAAACCTGGCATAGAAGAAGGAGACAAAGCCATCACCTGCTGTTAGAAGCTCCTCTAGTAAAAAAAAGATCAGATTAAATGCCTTTGTGAGCTCAGCAGGTAAAAAAAAATCTTGCTGCACTCTGTGTTATGGCATAATATTAATGTGGCTTCACTCCTTACGGAAGCTGATGGCCTACCCTGGGAGCAGAGGAAGAATCTTCCAAGTGCTAGGGAGGATTGTATAACATGCAGAAACAAAGTGTTAATTGCTGTCATAATTGAAGCTTCTTGCATATCCAGTTTCTTCTTGTTTTGCCTTCAGTCAGGGGTATGACCTAATGTCTAGGATTAAAGCGTATGTGCTGAATGTAATCAGCATATTGATGTGTAACTGTGCAAAGTAATGCTAAAAACTGCTAAAAAAGGCTTCTTGCATGAAAAATGGTGGGGGATTCATTCACAAGTTTCTAAAGGAGATAGAAATGAAATGATGGAGTGTGACTGGATCCCTATACTACAGTCCTCTGGGCTGTGAAAATTTTTTTAAAGATTCCGGTGTATCCACAGCCTTCCCTGTTACAATGTTTGTAATATTTAATGGTCTTTGCAGTTTAGTTAGCATCTCATTTCAAGGTTGAATACATTCAATTTGGAAGCTGAAGTCCAGTGTTTTATGTTGCACCTTTATAATTCTAAATCAGTTATACTTGTGGAAATGACAGAGCTAAATACTACATTGAACATGGGACTGCTGTGAGGACTAGTCAGATGAGATAAATTTCAGCTTTTAAATTTGCCGTTGTTGTTATTTTTGTTGTGCTGTGGTATTTAACGTCTGCTGAAGTGGTTATCTACCAAAAATGAAACGTACAGACAAAAAAAATGTCCCAGATCCTTCGGAGGTGTTTCTGTTTAAGCCAGCCTGTTGTTCCAGAGGTGTGAAATTGTTTTCTTGGTTTCTGAATGCCCAGATCATTTATGTCTCCCAACAACAGTAACTTTGCTTACTTTTGAACATGTTGGGTCCTCGTCATTTGAAAATCACTTCCCAGGAAAGTCACCTTTTAGGTATTTCAAAACACCAGGCCATTCAACCAGGAATACGCAGCTACTCTGCTGTTAAAGTGACTCACTTAAGATTTTGTTATTAGGCTGACTTAAGAAAAATTAACAGGAACCACACTAAAGCTGTTATTCTGTTTATTTGCAGTGTAACATTCTGTTACCATGCTAATTTTTCTTTGAGAATCCTGCAAGTGCTGTATAAGTGCCTTCCTCATGACCAGTTTGTGTGGGCTTCTCGCATGAAGCAATGAGTGCTTCTGTTTTGTTATTAAATTCATTACTTACCCTAGGGTCAGCATCTGACTGTTGCTTCTGTCATCTGCGTAGTTTAGTACTGTAGTCACAGTCTTCGGGTTCTTTGGGATTTCTTCGCATTTCTGTCAATGAAAGTGCAGAAATGAATAGTCATTGCCCCAACAGCGTGTTTTGTTTTGAGCAAATTAATGGTAACTTAGTAGTCTTGATTATTTTTTCAAAAGATTAGTTTGAATACTTTGCTTTTCTCTCATTTATTTTGGCTGTTAATTGTTGATTTTTATCCATAGAATCTTATGGCATGAATTCTTCCATACAACAAGTAAGAATGCCATGTTGTTACTCATCACTGTGGTAGTTTCTGTGACTGATCTAAAGCTTGTTAAGTGGTATCTGAGCACCTTGAAGGAGGGAAGATTTAGGTCGGATGTCAGGGGGAAATTCTTTACAGAGAGAGTGGTGAGGTGCTGGAACAGGCTGCCCAGAGATGTGGTGGGTGCTCCATCCCTGGAGGTGTTCAAGGCCAGGTTGGATGGGGCCCTGGGCAGCCTGGTCTAGTGTTAAATGTGGAGGTTGGCAGCTCTGCCTTGGTGGGGAGTGTTGGAGCTTGATGATCTTTGAGGTCCTTTCCGACCCAGGCCATTCTTTGATTCACTGGTCTGGACAATTTGTCTACTCACAACTGTTCAATAATATTTTCATGTGCACACAGTGGGAAATGGCTATTTGGTTACAAATCTGGTTGACTGTACTGCATCTTCTGTAATGCAGACCCTTACTTTCTACCAAAAATGTTTTATGGAGAGTATGAGTTACTAGCTGTCTTACCTAAATAAATAAATATTAATCACTTCTTCTTTACAGTTAAATAAAAGTTAACTTGATTCATTTTTATATCATTACTATGTTAAATGTTTTAAATTTGTAGAAGGATAGAACGTAGAAGAATTTGCCTAGATAACAGTTGTGTGGTTATATAAACCCCCATAATAAATCCTCTGGGGAAAATGATATCATACATGATATGTGGTAAAGATTCAAAGCAATTAGACCCATTTTGTCGTTGACCAGCTAAGCTAAGGCCAAAGAGTTGTTCTGCCCTCTGCACCCCATCCTCAGTAGGTTCTTAGTATTAAAATGTTCGGGATGAGAACTTCCTTTAGCTGAGATACTTTAGGTATTTAGTCTGGGATTCAGCTGTTTATGTATGGTGGCGTGGTGCCCTTGGAAATGTACTGGTCCCCTATGTCTAGTGTACTACAGGAGCAGTTGGAAGCCAAGCAGAGTCATCTGTAGCACTTCAACACTGGTGGCTGCTGTTGTTTAGGTAACAGGATTAATCTCCTTAGGAGAAGTTGAAAAGTGAAATCGATTCTCAGATCTTGATCGTTATGCTTGACTGTCTGCATGTTTGGTGGACGCCTAAATTCATGTTATAATCGGGGGGTGCCTAAACACTACAGTCAGAGGAGCCTGTCAATCTTGTGTTGCAACTGGCAGTATTTTGCATTCTTATTTTCTGGGCCTTCAAATGGTTCAGGGTGCTGAATGGGACTTCAGGCTAATCCTCGTAGCAGAATACAGCTTGAAGAAAGTTGAAAGGCTGGGTAGGTATGGCTAGGTTGAGGTTGGACTTGATGATCTTGAAGGTCTTTTCCAACCTGAGCAGTTCTATGATTCAAAGTACTAGGCGTGTACATTTAGCAGAATGAGAATGGGTCATTTCTTCTTGTGGCTGTTTTTCACGTTTGTTTGAATCTTTTAAAAAGTAATGAGTTTTATTTTTTGCCTAAGTGGAATTAATGAGTATACATAACAATATGAGGCACAAGTAACATTTTCTGTGTACCTTATCTAATGTGATACTGAAAGAAATTGGAGTTGTTTCCTCTTCAAATACATATGCTTGCAATGGTACGCTTGCAGCATTGCAAACCTCCATCTTTGAGGAAGGATATCTTAATCACAGTGTTTCTTTTGTTCTGCAGCTCTGCTTTTTTTTAACTGGCTCCTGCAGCTGCTCCTTGCTCACTGTGGCTGCCTTCTGCATAATATTTGCCTGATAGAAGCTTCTTCTGTGCACTTAAGTGATAGGGGAAATGATGTCCGTTAACTGAGAAATGAGTCAGAGGCAGAAGGATTTTTTTGGTGTTCCTGTTCATGATGGTACATGTTCTCATTGCTTTCAAAGCGAGAAAGAACCATAAGTGAATTTTTAGACAGTGGGCATTCTTCCATTTCTAATTTTCTATTTTACTTCAATTTAGAAATCAAGTGCTCTCTATCTGGTTGTGAATCAGTAGCAAATCTAAGATCAGATATGTAAACAAAGTAAGTTTTTGTTTTTCTGTTCCCAGCCTTCCCTTTCAGGGAATTCCTTTTGAGGAAAGGCAGTAGAGAAACCACAAGATAGACTTGGAGTCAGTTGCTGTAACAAATTATATGCATTGGTATATCTGACACTGACTTCCAAGTGCTTGCTGCAGAATAGAATTCAGAATTCTCCAGTCAGCTCTTAGATAGTTCTTATAGAGCTTGAGAGAGTGTTGTGTAGCTCTAAATGGCAGCTAATAATACTGAGTGGGCATACTGAGTGAGGAGTGGCCTGAAGTAGTTAGAAAAAGCAGAATGCAGGTGAAACCTAAATCTTATATTTTTATGCTTTTAGATATTTTGCTGAAGACTGTAAAAGCGTATTTCTGCCTAGTTTGCTCTCCTATCAGTAAATCAACTCCTGAAAGCAAATATTAACGTTCAAACAATCAAACAACACACAACTTTGTGTTTTTAAGATGCAGTGGAGGAAGGAGGGGATGTTGACAGCCTGGGACTTAGAGCATTCCCCCAGAAAGTGGGAGACTGGTATCTCTTCTTGAGATCAGCATACGCCTTCCTTCACCCCCTTCCATAACTAATGCAAAAGCTTGTAACAACATCCTTAATTTTCTGATTTTCCTTCACTAACTGCTATACATTAATTTCATACATATTGGAGAGCCTTTGTACAAGAGCAAATAGGTTCTATTTTCTGCAGGAGGAAAGTTACTGTTCCAATATAAATCATAATTTTTGTATCATGTATTTACTTCATTCCATAAAATACAAACAGGCAGGCTGCAATAAAACAAAGCTTTGTGTTTGGAGGACCATATCAATAGTGCTTGCTTTGAAAAGATATAAAGTAATCTCTTGGTCTTCATTTTTCAGGCTCAACAGATTGCGTATGCTATTCAACTGTTGGTATTTCTGATCCAGTAACATCAGCTCTTCATATTATTATAGGTGAGTGATCACACTTCACTGTTTTGAAAATATTATCATGCTCTCTGGCATGATATTAAAACAGCAGAAGAATAGAATAAGCAGTGTAAATTATTGGATGATAAATCTCTCTTATAGAAAGCTATCATGAGTAGCATTGTACGTTTTAGAAAACACTATTCATGTAAGTAATCTTGTGCAATTTAATACTTTCATGCCAGGTTACAAGTGTGACTTCTGTTCGATTGGAATTGCTTATAATTGCTGCTTTTGTAATCTGAAAATCATATATTTGAGAAGAAGGTAGGGAGGAAGACAACTATTTGTCTATAAATGCTTGTTTGGTACGTTCCCATCAGTAAGTGGAGATACTGACACTGCCACTCTCAAAGTCCTCAAGTAATAGGGTCCCTGAATTGTGTTGGGATTAAAGGAGGAGGAGATGGCTTGTGCATTCACTGTGTTGTGACTAGTGATGTCAGTCCCATCTGCTACATACTGAAGAATCATAGTCATGTAGTACTTCATTCTTCATTTGAGAAATTGTACAAGATAGTTAAATCCATGTTGTATAAGGATGGGATTTCCAGGTGATTGTTACTTCACCTGATTACTGATGGTATAACAGTTGCAAGCTTAGGAGCTGTTGTTGCAAAGACTTAGACTTGTGCTTCTCTGCTTACTTATGATTAAAACTGTTCAGCACATCTGGAGTTTAGCACCACTTGACTAGGATTGAAAAGCTGTTTCCAATATGTACTTAGTATATCACAATATTTTAACTGGGCATGTCAGTATAGGTATTTAAATTTCTATGTATGTTTCTTAATTATGTGGAAAGGACTTCACAGTGATCTGTGCTGAAAGGGTGAGAGACAATGGGCATAGAGTTAAACAGCATACAGTCAGACTTTTTAAAATAAGTAAAATACAAGGCAAAAGAAAATCACATTAAACCACTCCCAAAGCTTCCATTACACAGACGTCCAGAGTCCTCTTGTTACTATGAAATACAGGATCTAGAATTCGGTAGATGTACAGATGCAGCTTTGACCTCTTGTATGATATACCCTCCCACTCCTACATAGCATGAGTGAAGTCGTCTTTATGTATTTCTAGAATACTGGCCATTCTTTTCACTTAGTACTAAATGGTTTTTAAATATTGAAAGAAATCAATCCTCCAAAAATATTTTCTCCTTGTACAAATATTAAAAAAAAGTGTAAATGATGTGTGTAAATGTAGGTTACTTTTTTTTTTATTGTACAAGTCTGTAACATTAAAGCTATTATGACATTTGCATCTTGAAACAAAAGAAGCCTTAATAGAACCTTGCACTTTTCTAGGTGACTGTCAGCCTTTAGATGTCTCATCTGTGCATCATAACAACACGTTTTTGAAGTATGCTGTGTCATTGTTGGGTTATGGTTTTTATGGAGACGTTTTGAAAGACAGTGAAAAGAAGCGGTGGATGGGTCCGATGAGATATGACTATTCAGGTAACTTGAATAATTATTATGTTCTTATGTAAGCATATTGGAGCAGTTGATGCCCCTTCCTTGAACCAAGCTTCTCTGTACCTTATAAACGTAAGGAACTTGATTTTAAATTTCTTATGATGTCAATTATGTTGAATCATGTTGTCTCAGAAGGCCAACCATATTCTGGGCTGCGTTGAAAGAGGAGTGGCCAGCTGGGTGAGGAAGGTGATTGTCCCTTCTGCTTTTTCATTGTGAGGCCCTACCTGGAGTGCTGCATCCAGGCCTGGGACTGTAGATGCAGAGCTGTTGGAGCAGGCCCAGAGGAGGCCCCAAGGATGCTCAGAGAAATGAAGCACCTTTCCAAGAAGAAAGCCCATGGGATTTGAGCTTCTTTGTGCTGGGGGAGAGAAGGCTCCAGGGAGATAAGCCCTCAGTGGGGCTTTCTAGTGCTTAAAAGGAGTTTATAAACAAGACGGAGACCAACTTTTTGCATGGTCTCTTAATGACAGGAAAAGGAGGAATGGTTTTTTAAGTAAAAGAGATTTAGATTATATATCAGGAGAAAATTTTGGACTCGGAGGATGTTTAGGCACTGAAACAAGTTGCCCAAGGAAGTTGTGGATATCGCATCTCTTGTGGCATTCAAGGCCAGGTTGGATGGGGTTCCAGGCAACCTGGTGTGGTGGGAGGCATCCCTGCCACGGCAGAGGGTTGGGACTAAATGATCTTCAAGTTTCCTTGCAGCCCAAGCTGTTCTATGATACTGTGTTCTGCAAAACTGTGTAACTTGAGGAATAACGTTAAGAGTTTGCTTATTAAAGTATGAATTTGACAAAATAGCACAGTTAGCAAATTAACTTGTACCTAATACTTTCGTATTTTATGATCTTATAAAGAAACAAAAAATTTTGAACTGTCATGAATTATGTTGAAAGCATCCCTAACTAAAATTTGATTATCTTCTTTAGTAGTAAAATTGCTAGCACTTTAGCACTGTTCTATATCATTCATAGAAATGTGTTGATACGTGTTGCCTAGTGATTGCTGCCCAAAATTATTATGTTTTTGGTGTTAATCATTTTGACTTTCTTAGTTGGAAAGAGGCTCTCTTCTGTTCTATACATTCAGCTCACAAATTGCTTGTGTCTTTCAGTTTTATGGATGGAGCTGAGTGATTTAGCCCAGGTAACTAATATTTGGGCAAATCTTATGCTACTGGAAAGTATTTGTTGCCTTTTTTGATTTATGATATGACTAAAATTTTCTGTTTTCTTCTGAAGACATCAATCAAAGTAAGAGCCCCTCATGGAAACGTTGAAGTCTTTGTAGGGGAGAGGAGAATATGTCCTCTTCCAGTCTAAGACATCAGAACATAAAAAGCTGTGAGCTTGGGGAGAAAAGCTGTTTTTGGTGGTCCTTAGAGAAGGAAGGAGAACAACAATCAAAGGATGTAAGCAGAGATGTTTGCAATGTGGCTTTGTAAAGGCTTAATGCTGCTTAATACCTCTTTTATGTAGGCTTCAAGACTTTTCTTTCTCATCATTACTATGAAGGAACAATTTCCTTTCAACCAGCAAAACACACACTGGGATCTCCACGAGATAAAGATAGCTGCAGAACAGGGTAGGCTACTGTTTATCTCTGGATACTCTTTGAAAATGTCTGTATGTAAACTGAGGTTACGGCAATGTTGCTATTTGATATCAAAACTCTTGCTCTGAAGAGATGTGCTTTTTTAAAAAAAAAAAGTTGTTTCCTTATTGAAGGGAATACTGTATTTTTTTCAGGTTAGAAAAGAAAGTAATTTTTTTGTTAGTGTCCTCCCACTCCCGGTTTTAGATTAAACAAAGCTTAACAGCATGCTGCTAAAAAGATACTGAGGGCACTATACTTTGTTACTGCTAATAAATGCCGACTCTGGATGCCTCATAGCTTCTGAAAATGGGAATAATTACTCAGAAATTCTCAAATGTTCACACTGTAATTCGAACTAACAATTTTATAAATTGTTTCAGTCTCATGACAACAACTTGTGAGGATAGGTCACTTAATGAACTGCTATCTATTTAGTCTTTTTTTTTTTTTTTTGTAGAATATTACCCTCTGTTAATTTAGTGTGATATTCTTCAGTTGTTTATTCAGTCAGGGGGCCTAACTAAATCTTCTCACTTCCTTTCTCTTTGCTTTCTCCTGCTTCAAGTTATGTGTTATTACTTATTATTCTTGATAATGATTGCAGCTAACAGAGATATAGCAGTTGTCACAGTAGCTAACAGCACATCAGGGTACAGAGGAGTCAGAAACTGTGAAAGTACATGGAATACAGTACCTGGTCTCCGGGAACTAGCTAGAGCTACAGTTCTGACACGAGGTGCCTTGATGCTAGCAGTGCTCCAGATGGAGAAAACTGGCATCCAGGTCTCAGTATGGAAAAGTGCCTGATGTGTCTCCCTGAACCTGGGTTTATGGGCAACAGTGGCCTCACCAGTAAAAAAAGGTTTTGGTAAAACACTGAATTGCCATCAGAGTATAGAGGTGAGCAAGCTATCTAGCAACTGAGAAGATTAACATGAGATTGAAAATATCTTTCCAGAGGCAGGAGCCCAAATCCTTCAATGCAAGGAATGAATGAAGTGTGTGATAGTCACTGAAGACTGCTTCCTACAGGAGACAGAGGAAACCACCTGCAAAACTGACTGATGTTTTTTTATGACTAAAGAACATTCTTTATAAAACATAAATTTTGTGGAGGAGTGGCACCCATCTGTCAAGTTGGAGCAACCTCTGCAAACAGAATGGCTAGCCTTGTAAAGAGGGTCAGATTATAGGTATGAAGAGGCTTTCTATAACTTGGAAAGAAAAAAAGGCCATAATAGGTACTGAGAAAGTGTACAGAAACTACATTGAGAGTGAGAGCTTCCCCCCTGTCATACCAACCTGACTGAGTGTCTATTTCAAGTGCCTCAGCACAATTGCTGAGTGCATAATTGCAGAGCTCGTGTCTCTTTGAAGTTGCATAGGAAGGGTAAGACTGCCCATGTGAGTACTGTATGCATGTGAACTCTTTGGACTTGAGGCAGTCTTATCTAGTGGGTGACAGCCTTGCCTACAGCAGGTGGTTTGGAAATGGATGGACCTTAAAGTCCCTTCTGACCCAAGCTGTTCCATGCCTTTAGACACCTGGAGGAAATGAAGATGGGGATGTGGTGGTTGATGGTAGTCTTGGCAGCAGTGACTGTGAGCTTACAAAGGTTAAAATCCCCAGAGAAACAAGCAAGGCAAAGTGTTGAATTACAGCCCTGAATTTCAGAAGAACAGATGTTGGTTTATTCAGGAATCTTGGCAAGATCCCATGCAACATTGGAGGACAAAGAGGTCTAGAAGAGTTCATTGGTTTTTAAGGATGTATGTAGTACATGAACAGAGCATTCTGTTCATATGCAGAAACTTGAGTAAATATGCAAAAAGAGCAGTGTGATAATCCAAGATCTTTCTTGGCCAAAACCGAAATGTAACTGAGAAGTAAACAGAAGGTAGAGGTGGAATGGGTTGCCTCAGAGGAGCGCAGAACACATTGGCTCAACGTGTGGGGATGCCATTGGGAAAGCCAGAGTGTGGGTAGAGTTGAAATGAGTGAGGGATATGAAGAGCGTTATGTCGTAAAAGGGATTATTTATGGACGTCGATCATAAAAGATGGAGGGAAATGTGGAAATGTGGACCTACTGCTTAGCAGTGCAGCAGACCCACTGACAGAAGATAGGGGAAACGCCTCCTTTGCCTGTGGATGAGAGAGAAACAGTGGGTGTTAGATATCTTAATTTTAGCAAGGCCTTTAATAGTGTTTTCTGTGGTATTCTTAAAATTAAGTCAGTGAGGTGTATAGTACATTAGGAGATAGGTGTAAAACTGGTTAGGCTATACGGAAATGTTTCGAGTGCTGTGTCCAACAGATAGCTAATCACTAATGGTGTGCCTCAGAAAACAATTGTGAGGCCAGTACTGTGCAACACCTTTATTTAAGACTGAGATGGTGGTACAGAGTGAGCTGACAGTGGTTTTATGGATGGTAGCAGGTTGGGAGGAGTGGTCAGTGTGTTGAATGTCAAGGCTGCTGTTGAGGTGCATCTTGGCAGGTTGAAGAAATGGTTGACAGGAACACTGTGAAGTCCAGGAGAGGGAGTGGGAACCTGGAGTTAGGTTGTTATTTCTTACCTCTGATAATCTTCAGCAATGTATTTAAGTACCTGTAGGGTCTCCAGGACTATAGTGATTTGTGCCACATCAAGGCTGTTGGTGCCATGCGCCATCTTATAGAGGGGGAAGTTCTTACAGTTATTAGGTAAAGCACAGAACTGAATATGTTTGTTTTCAGGCACTGAATAGCGTTTCTGTTTTCAGATGTTACGTTTGCAAGGAAAGTGAGCAACAGCTGGCAGAACAACGCAAGAAGTGTGGATTCAAACATGAAGGTAACTTACCATAAAAAGTAAAATGATGGAGTATTGTGGAACTTACTGTTTTTCTGTGTATATCAGCTCAGGTGTGTTTGTTGCTACAGGTTGCTAGAATGATGTTTCTTTTAAGATTAAAAAAAAGATAAATGAAAAGCATGTTAAAGCATCACTTCCACCCGAGCCTCAGACAATTCTGGTGGAATTGTATTAATTACTTACATATTTTGATGCGTTGGGCTTCCTTAAGAAAGATATGTTCAGTGAGCTGAGACTTTGTCTTGCTTTTGTGAGTAGGATTTGAGTGATAAACTGTGAGTCAGTATGGAAAGAAGTTCAGTGAGAGAACTTCTGGAATAGATGAGAATTCAGCTTAGTGTTTGTTTACACACAAGTCACAAGTTCTTTAAGTTGCTAAATACATGTGAGACAGTGAATATGGAAAATACTAGCCTAGCTAGCAAATTTAAGTATTTCTAAGTAAATGGAGGAATAAATCTGTATATATCGTGTAACATATGTTACCTCATATATATCCTCTTCTCCTCGTTCAGGCCATGTTTACACTTTCATATGGGCACACCTTTTCCTTTGTTTTGTTAAAGCAACAATTTACACACTGGATGCTATGCAGTAGTCTTCCTATCTCTTTATGCCTAATTACTGCCTCCTAGTAGGAAGCACTGGCATTGATGCACTTCTAACTTTGCAGAAAGAAAATATGGAACTTCAATTGGCTGACTTTAGCCTCTGGTCTCAGTTTGTCTTCTTGAATATCCGCTCTCAAACATCCTTTACTTTGAGGGCTTATTTATCCTTTCTTTTTTTTCTTGCAGAGCCCAGTGCATAATATTATAATTTTCTTAACACAACGGTTGGTTCTTATGACCTAGTTTGTCTTGTAATCACAATTACTTTGCACAGTTTCTGTGTGTGGTTCTAGCCATTTGTTTGCAAAGAGCATCATCGTGCTGTAGAGCTTCACTGATAGCCTGTAAGCCTGTATAACTGAATCAAAGCATGAATAAATGACTTTACGTAATATCGTTTTAGGATTTAAATGTGATACCAAGATTCTTTTCAGTAAGAAAATCTCATGAGTAGGAGGAAATAATTGTAGTTAGAAGTTGCCTTTTTTCTTCTTTTTTTTTTTTTTGTTCATGATTTTTGTTCTTAATAGCTTTGATCCAGCAAAGGAGCAAGGGCTGAAGAAAGTGAAATACATACATTAGTGAACAACTGATTGCTTTAGTCTGCTTAGCATGAGACATGCAAATGATTTTGTAGGACATTGTCCTAGATTTTACTTTCAGTAGCTGCTTTTCTTTGCTGTGTAGTCTCTTCTCCATGTAGTACTGGTAAGTGAACAGGAACAATTTGTTACTCCTGATTTGCACTAAGAAGGATTTTAAACTACCACTTTGTGTAAGCTTTTACTCGTGAGATGTATTGGCTAACTCTTTCATTTGCATACTTGGTTTGTGTACAGTTCAGATGAGTTTAGAAGGATGCTTGCATTGACCATCGCTTAACATTTCATTAGAGTTGTGATAAAGTCTGTGTGTATGTGCTGAGCAAATTTTCAGTACTAGCACTTCAGGCTGATTTCAGCAACTGGCAGTATGTGTACACCATAGGCAGTTGAAATGAGTGCCATTTACCTTCTTCCTTGTTTATGATTGCCCTACTGTATAAAAGATAGCCTAGGTATGTTGCGATACTACAGGAGGCACTCTGCAGAATGGTTAGGAGAACAGCTGGTTATTTAAGATGTGATAAATACCCAGATTTTGTTGTTACTGAGCAGGTAAGCTTCTTTAGAGAGTGACATGCTTCAATATTTACTGAACAGTGCTTTTCCACCAGGTAAAAATGTATATAGGCACTCTACCCTCTACTGAGACTTGATTATTACAGTGAGCATACTTAAAAAGTTAATACATCTAGATGCATTCAGGACCAAGTTATTAATACTTCTCAGATAAACAGCTAAAAGTTGCATCATTAAAGGAGGGGTTTGTTTTGTTTTGTTTTGTTTTTTTCTGTTTTGTTGCTTCTATATCAAGAGAATGTCTGTTTCTTTTAAAGTAAGTGCTTGTAAAGCTCTGGACACAGGTGACTGATAAGCATTGTGCGTGAAGTAAAATTCCGTATTAGCATTAGTTGAGATTCTGAAGTGATTAATATGGTCTGTTACATCTATTACAATTTGTGGACTTTCAGATTCAGGAACATTCTTCCCCCCTCAGTGTGCAGGTACCCAGATGAAGCCAGGAAACAACACTGAACATGTTTTCCTATGCAGATATAGACATGGACACAGCACAGTTGTGGCTGGACACAGAGAGATCAATGCAGACAGGATGTTAGTATCTTCATAGATACTGACCACACAGAACATGAGCACTGTAACTATCCCAATCCTGCTTTCTCTCCTCATCAGGATTGAAGTTTGCTAATAGAACATACACATCCCTTACTGTCTTGATTCACAGTGATGCCTGTATTCAGGGATCCCTCAAATATTAGCGTGTACTTTAAGTCTCTCTACTATCAGTGCCCAGATCCTGGGTCTTTTGCCTAGTTTGCAACAAAACCTACAGATACTCTTAGTTACCGAACTGTGATCTCTGTTTGGGGGGGGGGGGGTGAGAGGGGGGTCCTTCACACTCTGGCACATCCAGA